TGGGTTTCCGATTTTGGATGTTTTGATTTTGTACCTTAGAGAGGTATTAACCTGTTCTTTGTTTGGCGGCATTCCGCCTATATGGCTGTTCTTTTGTGGCGGCGTTCCGCCTTTATGATTGTTCTTTAAGTTTGGCGGCATTCCGCCTATATATATATGTATATAAATAAATATATATGACCGTTCTTTGTTTGTCGGCGTGCAGTCTTGCTTGTTCAGAAACCCTGACCATGTCATGTTTGGCAGCTGTTTGCCAAACGTCAGGTCGCCTGGCCTTATACAAGGACCACAAGGAAATCTTTGTCTGCCATGGCTGCGACGGTGCCATCGACTCAGGTGGATGAAATTCCTGCAACTCAAGTGGTGCCGGCAGAACCGGTGCAATTCACAACGACATGCCGCAGATGCCAACGAGAGGTTTGCATCGACGACCTGGCTGCCGAGAAGCACGATAGTCAAAGTGAGGCAGTCTGCAAGCCATGCCACAACTTGCAGGTCATGATTGCCAAACGCTTTGGCACCAAAGCCTTCAATGACCTCATCGATACGGACTCCCAGGTCCAGTTCTTCAAAGACTGCTTGCAGAAGAATGGTAGTGGCCCGCTAGTCTTCAAGAATGTGAGGTCGTGTTTGAAGCAATCCATGAGGGCTTCCGTGGAGAGGACTTCAAAACATGGCAACCAGGGATCCTACCAGCCGTTGGAGTACTGGGTCAAGTTGGGCTACGATGGTGACCGCATCAAGTCCAAGGCTCCAAAGCAAGAACACCCAGTTCTTGGAACCACCTATGCAGTTGATGTGGTTTGCTATTCGGATGAGACGCTGGAATCCATGTGCGAGGATAAACTGCTCTCCCTTGAGCAAGATGTGAAGAAGCGAAAGGATCCCTACGCGCCGAAGGCAGCGCCCAAGAAACGGGGCAAACGCGCCCTGCAGGGCCAGCCCGAAGCGCCAGCGGCTCCCATAGACCTCACTGACGAGCAGAAGGCTGAACAGAAGGTCCTCATGGATCTCACCGGCATGGACTCAGACTCTGAGAAAGATGTTTCTTGGTGCCATTTGTCTGTTGCTTTTTCAAAAAGGTTAGGCTTTTTTTCTAGAGATCATGTCAGCTTTCCTTTGGCTTTTCAATCGGCCCCAGGCACCAAAGAACGGTATCAACCCTGACAAGCTAGCCGAGCGAGAAGCCAAGAAACTTGCAGCGAAGAAGCTGCGTGAACAAGAAAGGGAGACCAAGAAGATGAGTCCCTTGGTCGCGAAGGCTTCAAGCAGCCTCGCAGGAATTTTGCCAAAGCTGGACAAGGCTTTAAAGGATGCTGAGAATATGAAAGACGAACTTCCTTCCATGCTCATGGATTCGCTGGAGGAGGAAAATACCACCGTGAAATCGTGGGAAGAGGCGGCCAAGCTAGCTTTGAAAGCAATCTCCTCAGGGAAACTCATCGACTCAGAGAATTTGGGCTTCAAGACGGACAAAGACATCGCTGAGAAGATGAAGGTGGTGAACGGCTTGATCCGATCGGTCAATCTTGCCAAGAAGTCAGGGCCTAAGAGTAAGGCTAAGAAGTGATCTTCTTGGCTTGGGGCTTTCATGGTATGCAACAAGCATACAGATTTACCATATGGGGACGCCTAGGTGCTGTTGGTGAAAAGACCCACGGGTGCAAGCCGTCTTCATGATAGATTTGTTTTGTTGTTTGTTCTCTTATGGCATGTCAGGTGGAGTCCCGCCCAAGCTTTCATTGTTCACATGTCACATGTTTGGAAAGAGGCGGTATGCCTGCAGGCAGTCTCCGCCATCGAGCTTTGACACGCGTATATGTGGTGGCTCAAGATTCAAACCAGGCTACAAGATAGTTTAAAGGGCGAAAAGAAAACAAAACAAGATGCGCACCGCAATGCCGCTGATCCCAAAAGCTGCTGAGCCACACCAAGAAGATTCCCGCCCTTTGCGCCGAGCGCCTGAGAAGAAACCAGACTGGAACCTATGCGTTCAAGAAGTTCGATTCCTGCTGGATCGTATTGCTTTGATGCTTCCGGATCAAGAACCATTGAGCCTGCAGACCCTGAACCGTCTTTCCTACCAATCTGTTTGCGACTAGCTTTGACTAGGGCGAGAAACGTAGAAAAGGGATGTGTTGAGATGCTGTGAAAGTGTGCCGACTGTGCACTCCTGAATTTGGTTTCATTGTGCGGAATTTGATTTCATTGTGCGGTTCATTTGCGTTTTGCTCATAGTTGTCAACATGCCCTTTTAGTGAAGCCATAGCTATGCCGAAAAAAGATGGGACGGCAGTCAACGCCAGATTGAATTCTTGGGCTTTGGGCAACCTGCCTGCGCACGCTGTTAGCCAAGTAAAGCAAATCTTGAATGGATCTGCACCTTCGAGCTTCCAGAGTGGCGCTTTTAAACGCAAACGGAGGGAAATTCTACAGCCAGCCATGGAATGCTTCAAGAAGCTCCAGGTTCCGTCCAGCACAGGCGAACCCATCTACTTTCATCTCGCTCTCTTGGAGCCCTACCTGAACTACTGCTGTCAGCAGTGCTCTTGGTTTGCTTCTGAGATCGAACAGACTTCACAGCGCCCCTTGAATTTAATTTTGTACTTCGACGAGGCTACCGCTGGCAATGTCCTGGCTGTGGCTACTAGCAAGAAAATGGGATTGTTCTACGCAGCAATCAAGGACCTGGGCATGATGATCAAACCTACCTCCTGGATGCCTATTGCAGCCATGCCCAGCCGTGATTTGAAAGATGTCGACGGTGGACTGGGTAGAGTCTTTGGAACGCTGATTCAACATTTGGCAAGCCAGGTGGCTCAACCTTTGACAGTCTTCGGGCATCGGTGCTCTTTCAAGATACTTCATTACATAGGAGATTACGAATCAATTGTCGACTTGCTGTCAGCCATGGGGCCTAGCAGCTACAAGCCGTGCACTTACTGTCAAAATGTCTTGGGTAAGTTTTCTGACCTGCCAGAGAAGGACCAATACTTTTGCAGCATCCATGAAAGCGACCCCGCCAAGTTTGAAATGTTCGACTCGGCGGAACTGCACTCTGTCTTTGACAGGCTCATGACTGAGGCTGACACTGACACTATCACCAAAGAAGGCCGAAAGAAACTTGAGCAGTCTTTTGGGTTTCACCTTTCACGGACAGGGTTTCTTGCAAACGTTCAGGCGCGCGGCCACCTGAACATTGATAACATTATGTTGGATTCGTGCCACTGCTACTATGCCAATGGAGTAGCTTGCCAGGAAATGGTCATGTATGCACGCTGGATGGAGCAAACGCACTCCATCTCCATTGAAGCAATGGGGAAAATGCTGAGTGAAGTTCCGTGGCGCTGCAGCAGCCCAAAATTTTCAGCGCCAGGTGCCAGGCAGTTTTTGTTTCACGCATCATTGTGGAAAGGGGACCTGTACAAAGGCTCGGCGACGGCAGTTTTCTATCTTCTGCCAGTGCTGAGGTTCTACAGGCACGTTCTCGGTGCAGAGGGCGACTATGCGGAGGACCAGAGCTTTGATTTCTTATTGCAAATACATTCATGTTTGAAAAAGCTTCGGTATGCTGGTGGGGCCACTGCCAGACAGATTGACTTGCTGGAGAACCTGCAACCTCTGCACCAAGCAGCCTTTGTAGATTGCTGGGGCCGCGAACAAACGCGGCCCAAGCACCACTTGAGGTTTCATCTCCCAGAGCATTACAGGAGATTTGGCTACTGCGATTGCTTTGCTATGGAGGCAAAGCACCAAATTTGGAAAGGCTTCATGGCCAACAGCCTTCAAAGCTTGTGGTCTGAACACTCTGGTGATGTCGGGAAACACACATTGCCACGGTTGCTGCACAGAACAATACTTCAAATGACAGAGAATTCGCCCGCTCCAACCTTCATCGGTCGCGTATATACCCGAGAAGAAGTGTATGCTCGAATCGGCATCAAGGATTGCGAAGTCTGCAGCCAGTACCGGGTTGGGTCCTTGGCAATGCAGAGCGATCAAATCCTCTTCTTCTCAGCGCCTGGCCGTCCGGATGCCGCTGCTGTCATCGAGCTTTTCGCTCGGTGGCAAGGCCATGTGTGGATCGTTGTGGAAGATACCTCGGAGGAGAAGTCCTCACTTCGCTTTTGCCGAACCTTCAAGCGCCTGGGCGTGAAGCTAGTCCATCAGTTGGACAGGTTGCAGAATTTGAGGCTTCCTAGTTGGTGGCTGTTCGAAGACAACCGCGTGGTTTGCTTGGAGTAGTTCAAAAAGGCGTCAGCTGGAACTTCTGGCAGCATTCTGCCTTGTTGTGCTTTGTTTGATTGTTTGTTTGTTTGGCGGCATTCCGCCTTGTTGCGGTTTGTTCGTTTGGCGGCATTCCGCCCACATCACAACACGGACACACACACACATTTTGGCGGTATTCCGCCCACACACATACATTGATGCGGAATGCCGCACGCATAGAAACATTAGGCGGTAGTCATTTTTCTAAGGTTTTTGTTATGTTTTTTGAGAAAAATTATGTTTTGCAAGTTTTTTGCACACAGTTTCATTTTTGCAAAGATTTCATCATTTTTCACGCTCAAACTAGTTACAGAAGTTAGTAACTTCCGCAAATTTACTTATAACTAAGTTATGATAAGTTCAATATAACTAACTTTTAACTTTTTTAAGTGTGGTATCTTAAGTTATAAGTTCTTTAACTAGGGGGGCCCCATGGTGAAGGTCCACGATCGCCCCCCACCCCATCTCTCTCTCTCTTCTGGCCTCC